TGCATCATTTAGAAACCAAACATGTATATCAATTTATCCAAACTCAAATGATGTTTTCTATCCCCAACCTATCATTCTGGCTTTAAGCGCCAACCTTCAGACTACCCAGTAATCCACAAATCACTATATTCTTGGCTGCAGCAGAGACTTTGCTCATGATGCTTCATCAGTGGAAATGCTCACTCTACCTAACTCCATCTGATAAAATCCTACCCATTTTCAAAGACATAAGGCCTATGTTTTCTAAGAAGCATTCCCAAATTCCTCTAGGAAGAGTTCATCTCTCTTCTATGTACTCAAGAGTACTTGATTCCTAACTATACTATGGCCTATTACATTCTGGAATAAATATTTTTGTATGTGTCTCATTTCCCAAATTTTAGGTTTTTTAATGGCAAAGGCTATAGCTTGTACCCATCCTTCAGTATTTCCTGATGCCGTTACTTGTGCATATTTATAATCCAAAGCTTATTGACTTAAATCAAAATTAGTAGGAATGATTAACGACTAAAAACTAAATTTTTATTCTGAGAGTTAAAAGAATATATAAAGTATTGGCAAGATTGCTGGAACCACTGTCTGTTTCTGCTGGCGAATACATCTTCAGTGTTAGCACAATACTCAACACTTAAAAAAGTGAAAATTATTGAACAGACGAACTAATGTCTAATGGGGGGAGAGAAAATTAAGATGCAATGAAACTAAGGTGTCATGAAAACTACTTTAAAACATAAAGTATGTTGAAGGGTAAGTGGAGTTGTTATATGTTTTTCCAGAAGCAGAACTCCAAATCACACATGCATTTAAACAGGGGCACAAATTTCATTAAATATAAGAACGTTCTATTAATTATAGTGGTCTGGTAATGAAAGAGTCTGCTTCATAACACACTTGGTCCTCTCCACCTGGGTCCTGGCAAAGGGTAAGTGAACTGCTGGGAATATTCTATAAATATTTTCTCAAATTGGATCCCAGAATCATATAACACTCGATATAACTTAGCTTGGCACTATAAAATAAATATTCATCTCACCAATTACTTCATCCTTAAAAAAATAGCCTATCAGACTTGAATGAACCTAAAGTCCTCTGAAGTTAAAGTGAATAGAGTTCATGGATTTGTTCCAACATAGAGACGATCTTGTTGACACACAATGAAAACATCCTGTGATTATCACTATCAGTGATGTCTCTGAACCAAACCTGCCCATTGTTAAATATTAAAAGGTTTTAAACAATTTTTCTTACATTGATACAATAGAAAATAGAGCTAATATCTTAAAAAAATATATAAAACTGGAGTAATTCTAGGCAAATTTCCAAAACCAAAAAAGCTTCAAATAGACTTCTTAGGTAGAGAAAATGCAAGTGTGTGTGTATTTATGGTTTTTATATGTGTGTATATATACTTATATGTATATGTGTGTGTATATACATATATATCACCATTACAGATTTCTATAATGCATATAACTTTAAAGACAATTTCATATATTTAAGAAATTAGATTTCATCCACTGTTGGAGGCAGGGAAATGCCATATTTATACCTAAAGAAATGGAGGCTCTGAGGCATGTTCTCCAGACCTCACTGCTAGCAAACGCTAGAGAAAGACTTTAGCTCTTACTCCCCAATCTCTCCTCCCACTGGACAAAACCTCAGAACATGATGTCGTTCAAGTCCAAGGCTGAAACCATGAGTGTACTTATTAAACCATGTGTATGACGGACTCTACTTTTTATATGTGTTACTTGAAAAGGGACTTGTGTTAAATCGCAGCTTGAAGATCTTTTCTAACAATAGATAATAATTTATGAAGTACCCAATGTAATAAGAATTTGCATGAGACAATAACTCCTTCCTCAAGTGTAATGAGGGCTTTAAATTCTTTTTGAGTCTTCCACGACTTTTGTTATATGGACCCAAGTGATCACCTCTTTCCCAAAACATCCCCGCAACAAACCTCGTCTCCTTCCTGAGGTCGCATCAGGGAAACCCGGTCGTACTGCCTCCGCAACAAAGCCCAGAGCGCATCAAGACGACCCTAAAGACAACAGGATTGGTGAATTCCTAGAGAACAGGCTCAACCTATCTTTACTGAATAAATGAGCTACAGCGAAGAAGGTAAACCCTTATTCTCTACTCTCATTTATCTCATAAATTAAACCAACAAACAAATAAATTAGAAGGTTGTTGGTGCTGAGAAAGTATTCAGGTGCTGTAATGCAAAATGAATGTCTGATATTTGATGTGCCTTGCCCCTCCTTCAGATAGCTGGGGGTGGGGGGGAGTTACAGTTTCTCTAGGAAGTTCAGTCAAATTACACAAAATATGGACAATTACCTTAATTGGTGTGTACCACTTTGTCTGGAGAGGCTGGTATGTGGGTTTGGGTCGAGGTGGCCTAGGCCTGACGGGTTCCTCTCCTTCTTCAGGAATTGTCACCACAGCATTTTTGGCTTTCTCTAGCCTTGCACCTTCCTCAGTAGATCCTTTATCACCCCAACGAACCTTGAAAACAAAGAGGAAACACTCATATCAGGCATGCAGTGTCCTAGAAAAACAAGCTCTTACTGAGCCAATAGTCCTTCAGTTCACCACTACAAAGATGAGTTCGTACGCTAACTCTACATTTTTCCTCTTCTGAGGCTTATTAGGTTTCTCACCACTTCTTATGTATTTAATATTAACATACTAGAAACAAAAGACCCTTAAATTAAAGGGTCAATTAAAATTTGAAGCAACTCTTTCTCCATTATTTCAAATAAGGAATTAATTTGTGAAAGCATGGCAGAGTGTAACTCTGTTCTCTGATTAGGTAGGTTCCCCTTCCAGCTAAACACATACCCACATATACTGATGGCACTGCGGGAAACAGATGACAATACTTATAATTAGCATTTATTATGTGTGGATCTGCATTTAATCCACACAAAAATACAATGAGATGCTGTATTTTTTTCCTTCCAGATGAGGAAACTGAGACAGAGAGAGGAAGTGACATGCCCAAAGCCGTAAAGCTAGTAAGTGGCAAGGCAGGGATTTCAATACAAGTGGTCTAAGTGGGTTAAAAGTTTCAAATAGGTTTGAATTTGATAAATGTATTTTACACAAAGGAGTTCATTGTTCCTTCTGAACTTTTCATCAAGTATGATGACGATATAACATATGATTTAAACATTTAGCCTTTGGAAGTAAAATAATTATGTCTGATTTTTCCTTACTTTTGTAAAGCTTGACTTTGTAAAGTAACTTTTGGTCTTTAGTTCCTGAGCTCATCTGCATATGTTTACTTGACATATGAATTTTTCATTGAGGAAAACAAATCTGAAAAAGAACCCTCTACTTTGAAAAGAAAAATTCAGGGACACCAGGGAATTCCGTTCTCTGAAAATTCTGGACATTGAAAAACCACACGGTCAAATGATTATTTTCTTTATTTTTCAATGAACAAGAATTAAGGGCTAAATCTGAGCCAAACTTTTTTATGTGTGGGCATGTGAACAGGACATGGCTCCTGGAGGAAAGCTTTGTTCAATGAGGGGCAGTGGAGAAGTTCAAAAACCAATGACATTATCAAAGATGACAAAGGTAACATAAGTGAAGCTCTAAAAAAAAACAAAACAAAACAGGAAGGCCTGTCCAGGGCACACTATAACTCTCCAGAATTAAGTGATTTCTACAACGGAAAAATGATTAAATACTTTCCAAAGCATTTTAATGACCTGAGTTAGTAGGTAGGAATGAATACAGATGATTACAGTTCATAGAAAGAACTATTCACAGCTTTTTTATCAGGCTTACTTAGATGTTTTTACCTTTTTTTAACTACAATTTTAGAATAGGCTTTCAATTTCAAGTGGACCCTATTGAGTCGTTAAAATGTATCTGTATCTTTCAGTGTGATCAGTGGTACTAGAATGTTCTTTATGAGGTTGTTAAAGTTGTTTTAAACACCATTAAACCTTTAGAGCTAGATAGTTGGCTCTCTATCCAGAGAAATGACCTTCTCTCTCAAGTCAGTGTCTTCACTTCGATCAACGAAAACTTATACAATCTTTAGAAATAGCTAAATTGAACTACATAACTCTAAAACCAGGATACATATCCTTACAGTTGTAAAGTCTCAATTTTAAGGGGGAAAAGAAATGAAAGAAGATACACAGTTAACATGAATATCCTACCTCAGGGAAGACAGAATAGAAATATGAGAAGACACATTTTAGATCTATTCAGAAATTATAGATTTTAACACATATAGCTACCTAGCCTAGCTTTCACAGTTCATATCACAGAGGTAATGGTAACCATATTTTTCCTCCAACTTTCACTGGCACCATTTTCAGATAAAGAACACAAAGCTACTTAAACTTGAGTTCTGACCCAATGTGGCATTTCTAGGGACTCAACTATCTATCAAAGGACTGTACTTATGAAATATAGTTGCTGAGTTCTAAAGGAAATTCATTTAATCCATTAGTGTTAGTTTATGAATGAGCTGTTTCATTATTATCACCATCACCACAAACAACACAACCAACAATTCTCTTACTCAATCTCAAAGACTAACACTAGGTGATACTTTATAGAGTTTTCCTAAAACTCTTAAAAGCAATTAAATATATATATACATATGTATAAATTTTAATATTTTAGTTTGATCCCATTGACAGAGTCCAAAAGGAGAGAAAAATAACAAGAATAGATTGTTAAAGGAGCCTTAACAGAGCTCACATATCTGGTTTTTTTACAACTATAAAAAAAAATAATAATAAGTGCAAGCTTGATAGTAAATTTTTTCAACTCTACTTAGTTTTCATGATAAACATATGAAATTCCATAATTTCCATGGCATATTTGAATGACTAGGACCTTATATCATAAAGGAGCAATTTCAGAATCGAGAAAAGAAACAAAAAGAGTTTCACGCTGAATTGGCAGAAACATACATTTGAAGTCATTAGGTATTGTGGATCAATTGTGCTAACAGCTGTTATTAACATCAGCTCAGTTCCAGTTTTCTGCAAATTTCCATTACCATAGTGTTTAAATATTTAATTTAAAAGAGGAGTAAGAAAAAATGTCTAGGTAAAATCCCTATACTGGCTTAAAATAACATTAGCTGTGAAGATTCGTTCTGTAATTCGAATGTGCTCATAATTTCTATACTTCCTTTTACTTCCCACAGTTGAACGTATTTTTTTAAAGGGAAATACTTTCTAGGTTTGAATAGGCATAATTTTAAAACAGACCATGTATTCTATTTTTCCTCTCCAAGTTCAAGTAAGATTATGTTTGAGAAAGTTTAATTATGCTTAATTCTCACTTTAATTTTTGTTGTGCATTTTTATGTATTGTGTTTCCCCTTTGTATTTCCCACATTTACTTTTGCATTTTTTTCATTCTCATTCTATTTCCAGCTTACGAATGGAATACTCCATAAAATATAGCCAGAATTATGTAAAGCTAAAATAGAATTCAATTTATTAAAAGTAAGTAAGTCTTTTTCATAAATTTTCCTCACTGAACAGGATGGGCAATACAATTTCACATATTAAGAGTCAATGCTTAAAACTTGAAATGTGAATTATTCAAGAATGTGCATGAGCCCTTGGCTTTCGTAAGCATGAGCCAATACTGTACCCTTCCACTCAGGAACGATTCAGCTCATGCCTGTGCTTTTCTTTTCTTTAGAAAGATAGTTCAATCTTTGGAACACTGTAATATTGAACTAACAAAAATCTGGCATAATCCCTAGAGTTTTCAGCAAAAACCTACTTTATTCATTTAAAATATACTAATACAGGGGCCGGCCGAGTGGCGTGATGGTTAAGAACTGGCTTGGGACGCCAGAGGGCCCTGGTTCGGATCCCACATATGAGGGCCAGTGACACTGCCCTCCACAGCTAAGATGCTGAACAACAGCTCAATCTGGAGCTGGGCTGCCGTGAGTCGCCGGCGACGGCATAGGCTGCAGCCCCTGTGGCAGTGGGTTGCCATGGGCTACTGTATGTAGCCAGCAGCCAGCGTGAGCGGCCAGCAGCCACAGTGAGCGGCCATCCAGAAGCCAATGACTGATCTGCCTCGCCCGGGAAGAGCGCAATGATGGTGCCAATGTGGGCCAGTGAAGCAATGTCCTCCACAACTAGACTGAAGAACAAAACAACATCAACTTGTCTGTTCCCCTTCCCCCAATTCCCCAACACTGTTCCCATCTCCCCAATACCCCAATAAAAATCTTTAAAAAAAATAAATGAAAAATAAAATATACTAATACATCACACACCCATATATCTTGTTGTCATGTGGTATTTTACATGTGTGAATTTCAAAATGGAATTAAATGTATTATTCTGAATATAATTAGTGCATGGTCAGTGTCAAATAGGTTAGGAAAAAACCGAGAAATGTATAGCACAAATTGAAAATCACTCCATCCAGAGGAAACTATTCTAACATTTTGTGGTATATCCTATCAAATCTTTTTTTCCCCTTGCATACATCTTTTTGGAATGAGTCTAAATAAACTAAAATAAGTTGTGACAGATCATATTTAGATGTCCATATGTAACACTTTTATTTACAAGTGTATTTTTTTATATACATAAGAACATCTAATCCACTCTTTCCCACCCCACCAAACCTAGAATGACACAACAAAGGCAAGCTGAAAGAAAATGGCTTTCCTTCTGTTTCAAACAACAAGAGCTAGCCCAGCCATGTTCTCTGTACTACTTGATAGTCCCAATTATGCACATGCAAACACATATGCAATATCTTCTCCAAAAGATAAACTTAATAGCTCCCAGCACTTGCCTTTTCTATGGCTTATCATCAATGGGGTACTTGTCTCAGAGGGTATTTCAGCAATACAGTGGCAAGCTCTCAGGGAAAATGTGAATTATTTTAAGACTCATATGCGTAAGAAAGTGAGAATCACTATCAGATGACTTGAATAACCATTTTGGAAATGACAACCATGTTAAGTAGGCCTGGGCTTCTTTTGAAAACATTGAAATTTATTGTGAAAAGGGAAAACTCTCCTTGGGACTCTGAATTTTATTGAAATGTATTAAAAAAGAGAAAATTGCAACAGTTGTAAGGTTGTTAATTAGCTAATTGATTTTTTTCTGGCAGTAATGGGACAAAGCAGATATGACAGTAGGAGACCCATGCAATGACTGCATGACAGAAAAAAAACAAAAACTCCTTATCGAGAAGTAAAATGAAAAGATAACTAATAAAGAGAAAATGCCAAGACCTGTGTTTAATAATAAAGTCAATATATCAATCAGAAAATTCCTTCAATTGCTTGTTGAGGGAAGATGCTGACCTATTGGGTTGTTGGAAAAGTCATGACATATTTTTACTATGTTTTTCATTGCAAAAATGCATCATGACTTTTCCGACAACCCAATATCTAAATTGTTGTTAAGGGTTCAGTGCTGGCAATGATTGCTTCTTATTAATTAATTAATCACTTTGAAAAATATTTTTGTAATAGCAAGAAGACCTCATTTGATTTTTTTAAGATACAATATTAAAGTCCAATTTACTACATAATTTGAGCAGGTCAAAAAATTCAATACATCCTATAAATCATATTTAATATTAATTATAATCAGTCATAAGTGGTAACTAAAAGCTGTATTTAAAAAGCCTTAAATGTGCTTCCTCTACATTTGTAATGAGAT